ATAGCTGCGTGGCCGCGCAGCCACGCAGCTGAAATGGAACATTTTCCGTGGGCCCAAAGTTATTTTTCCTTATATACGCAATAGAAATATTAATAGGCTTAGAAAACACTATAGGTTATATGTGATCTAGCTTTGTAACAATACCCTTCATAGTCTATATTGAAATATCGGTGGATTTAAAACTTAAAATATTTAATCTAGAATTTTAAAGAAATTTCGATAATTTAAAAGCTTTATCTATGGCATTTTAAAAGAGATTTTAATGAGATAAACTTTAATTATCAACTCCATAATTTATCTGAATGATTTTTATAGCCCCCCCCCCCCTAATCTCAGGCTAAACTAAATCGATACAATGATGGAATGGGACCCTTCTGGTGCAGCTCTTTTAACTTAAATGTACTACTGTTTTAGTAGTGCATTTAGTTGTATACTTTTTCGTTTAAAAATATACTTAGAAAAGCCATTTTTTTTCTACACGTTTCGAGGATGATATGAATTTTAATCTAGAATTTTCCAGATCCAGAAAGTTCTACGTTGTTCTACTGGGATAGATTAGGGGATCTAAAAGCTTATTGAAATATTAGTTTAGTTTTATTCATTTCTTTACTTTCGTTGGGATTTTCTTTAAACATACCTTTTATAATCCACCTGGGACCACGATCCGTTTGGGAACATTATCCCAACGAGGAGCAGGATCCTAAAGGGGAACGAATAAACTAGAACCCACCAATAACGCAATGCCATAGAGTAACTGGATCAAATAGGGCAAACGGGTTCCCATTGGAGAAACGGGATCCCCAAGAGAACGGGGTCGGAATAGGATCGGGATCCTGCCTGAGAACGGGATCCCACCGGAAAACGGGAACCCACAGAGATCGGGATTTCACCGGTATCGGGAACCAACAGCTGGTATCGGGATTTAACCGGGATCGGAATCCTATGGTAACGGGATCCAACTGGTTTCCGGATCCCACCTGTAACGGGATACGTTATGTTTCCAGATCCAACCATGAAACGGGATCATACCGCCATCATGAACAAACCGGGGTGGGGATCACACCAGAAAATGGATTTCGACGTGATTGGGAACCAACAAAAATCGAGATTCCACAGAGATTGTAATCCCACTGGGGTAGGGATAACATCAGGATCGAAATCCCACCAGGATCGGGATCCCGAAGGGGTCAGGATCTTACCGAATTATAGGGACACCATCGAAAAACAGGATCCCATCGATTAACGGTATCCGATTGGGATCCCTCTTGGATCAAGATCCCACCAAGGAAAGAAAGTTTTTCAAATGTTATTCTAAATGTGTTTTAATAGGAGATAAAGAATTATTTCTTTTTTTTTTTTTTTTTTAATTTTTATTTTCTTTAGGGTAGTTGTTTTTTTGTTTTGCTAAATGCCGTTTTGTTTCAATGTTTATTAAAAGGCTGTAGAACAGGGGACTCAAACTCAAAGTATCCGGGGGCCGCAGGAGGTAGAGTCAGAGTGAGACTTGGCCGCATCAAGTATTCCAGAAAAAAGCGATGGCAAAGTCAATAAATTACAACTAAGACAATGTGCGCAACCAGTATTAATAACAAATAAAACTTTAAGGGTTCTCAAGAACTAGGCTTCAATATTTTTCCGCCTACTCCTTGTTGCCGGAGACCTGGCAGCGTTTCTTCTTACACACCTGAGCAACATTTGGCTTGAGTGAGGAAGCAACTGAGACCCTTAGTATAGATTGAAGATGTTAAACAGTAAGTTTGCTCTCGTTAACTTTGACTCGTTAAAGTGCTTTCGACACAGATAGGTACTCGCAAAAAGGCAAATGATCCACTTGAACATATTGGAAATCTCAGGAATGGTGGAGGGCAATGCGCTCCTCAATTTTTAATGCTTGTCTGTTTTTCTATTCACCTCCCTGAACATGCACTGGAGATCAATCTGCTCCATTTGAAGCGGGAAAAGGGGTGGGGGATCTTCCACATTGAAATAGAAAGGGTCAGCAAAAATTTGAAAAGTGACTCTGTGTGTTTTTTAGTCTGCAAACATGTGATCTAATTCCTCCCGTGGCTTTGTAATGGCATCAGTATACTTACTACTGAATGGTGTGCCCAAGTCCATGAGTAGTTTGCATGTTGGGAAATGAAACTTTGAAAGTGACCAGGTGGACAGGATCGGAATTCCTCTCACTCGTAAATACTAGCAGAAATTTTAAAAATGATTCTTTGATACTGTGTCAGATTGCTATGATTTGTACAATTATGGTTGTGCATTAGCCTGTAAATGAATTTTTCAACTATCCTTAAAACCGAACTTTGGCCATGTTTCTCTCATAAAATGCTATCAAATCCTTTTTTTTTTAAGTGGCATTTTAACACGGGCTTTACCATTATACTAAACGTCCACTTTTATACAAACATAATCGAATCAGAATAAGACTGTTCGGGAAGATTCGACTGAAATCGTCGCGGATGGTCACATTATAGATGAGAATGGGGGAAACTGCGTGGGCCCGCAACTTTGAGACCCCTACAGTAGAAAGTGTTTGTTTTTTCGAATGTAATCCTGGGCAACGCTGGGTATATTAACTTGTAAATTTATACATAAAATGATAAGGAAAATGAAATTTAAAAATTGATACAGCTACAGGAGAGCTATAGGCGAGCTACATGAGAGCTATGGAAGAACTACATTAATGCTATAGGTGAGCTAATTAAGAGCTATAGGAGAGCTACATGAGAGCTATGGAAGAACTACATTAATGCTATAGGTGAGCTAATTAAGAGCTATAGGAGAGCTACATGAGAGCTATGGAAGAACTACATTAATGCTATAGGTGAGCTAATTAAGAGCTATAGGAGAGCTACATGAGAGCTATGGAAGAACTACATTAATGCTATAGGTGAGCTAATTAAGAGCTATAGGAGAGCTACATGAGAGCTATGGAAGAACTACATTAATGCTATAGGTGAGCTAATTAAGAGCTATAGGAGAGCTACATGAGAGCTATGGAAGAACTACATTAATGCTATAGGTGAGCTAATTAAGAGCTATAGGAGAGCTACATGAGAGCTATAAAGAGCTACATGAAAGCTATAGGAGAGCTAAAAAGAATCTATAAGAGAGCTACATGAAAGCTATAGGAGAGCTAAAAGAGAGCTATATGAGAGCTATAGGAGAGTTAAAGCAGCTCTACATGAGATCTATAGGAGAACTAAAGGTGAGCCAAATGAGAGCTAAAGAGGAGCTACATTAGACCTATGAGATAGATACATGAGAGCTATAAAAAAGCTATAGGAGAGGTACAAAAGAGCTACATGAGACCTATTGAAGAGCTACATTAGAGCTATAGGAGAGCTAAATAAGAGTTACATGAAAGCTAGATTAGATCTTTATAGAGCGCTAATAGGATAACTACAAAAGATCTATTGGTGACCTACATGAGAGCTAAAGGAAAGCTAAAAAGAATTAAAGGAGAGCTACATGAGTTCTATAGGAGAGCTACACAAGAGCTACAGCAAAGCTAAAGCAGCACTACATGAGAGCTACATAAGAGCTATAAGAGAGCTATAGGAGACCTGCATGAGATCTATCGGAGAGGTACATAAGAGCTATAGGAAAGCTAAAAGAGAGCTGTATGAGAGCTATAGGAGAGCTACATGAGAGCTATTGGTGCTACATAAGAGCAAAGACGAACTATAGGAGAGCTAAATAAGAGTTACATGAAAGCTAGATTATATCTTTATAGAGAGCTATAGGAGAGCTATAGGAGAGCTACGGAAGCTCTATTGGAGAACTACATGAGAGCTATAGGAAAGCTAAATGAGAGCTATAGGAGAGCTACATGAGAGCTATTGGAGCTATATAAGAGCAAAGACGAACTATAGGAGAGCTAAATAAGAGTTACATGAAAGCTAGATTAGATCTTTATAGAGAGCTATAGGAGAACTATAGGAGTGCTACAGAAGCTCTATAGGAGAACTACATGAGAGCTATAGGAAAGCTGAATGAGAGCTATAGGAGAGCTACATGAGAGCTATTGGTGCTACATAAGAGCAAAGACGAACTATAGGAGAGCTAAATAAGAGTTACATGAAAGCTAGATTAGATCTTTATAGAGAGCTATAGGAGAGCAATAGGAGAGCTACAGAAGCTCTATAGGAGAACTACATGAGAGCTATAGGAAAGCTAAATGAGAGCTATAGGAGAGCTACATGAGAGCTATTGGAGCTATATAAGAGCAAAGACGAGCTATAGGAGAGCTACATAAGGCTACATGAGAACTTTAGGAGAGCTAAATAAGTGTTACATGTGTACTAGATTAGAGCTACATAAAGAGCTATAGGAGAGTTTCAGGTGAGCTACATGAAAGCTATGGTAGCGTCAAATTAGTGCTATAGGAGAGCTAAATAAGAGTTATAGAAGAGCTATCGCAGAATTATAAGAGAACTACATGAAATTTATACGTGAGCTTTATGTGTCATACATGAGAGATATGTAAGAGCTACATGAGTTCTATAGGTGAGCTAAGTGAGAGCAATAGGAAAGATATAGTAGAGTTATAAGAGAGCTATAGGAGAGGTACATGAAAGCTACATGAGAGCTATTGGAGCGCTACATGAGAGCTATTGGGAGAGCTACATAAGAGCTATTGGAGCTACATGAGAGTTATTGGAGCTACATGAGAGCTAAAGGAGAACTATGGGAGAACTACATAAAAGCTACATTAGAGGTATAGGAGAGCTTTAAAAAAGCTATATAATAGCTAAATGAGAACTACATAAAAAGTAAACCGTTGTTAAATTCTATGATCAAGTAAATACCGATATACGTTATTTCAAGGCGATGGTCACACACTTGCTCGCCAAACAGCGGCTAAAACACGTGACACTGTGTAATGCATGGGGGGGGGGGCGGAAATTTACCCGTGCAACCGGGTGGGGGGATATTGTATAAGTACTGTATGGATGGCCCGTTGTCATTAAAGTACAAACTACCTTTTCATGAACTTACCAAACGCAGTGCTAGTGTGTTTTACTGCCGCCAACCACTCAGATGACCTGCATAAGAGAATAGTAAATGGCGAGGCAGTGACCTCAAGGGCTTACCCTTACCAAGCCTCGCTACAGATCTACCAATACGAAGAATGGCATCACATCTGCGGAGCTTCCATCATAGGGGACAACAAGGTATCTATTTATGGCATCGGAAAAATGGTATCTATTTTTTGGCTGAGGGATTCAAAGCAAGATAACTTGATTTTTTAAAAGTGATATTGGGGGAGGGGGGTATTGAACAATAGCTGAAATAGTGAACATGTTGGGTTCTTGCTTAAAATCTCATCTTTAAATCTATGAACATTTTAAAAGATTTTTTTTGTGATGGTTTAGGGATGGGGCTGTAGGGTAACGAATCAACCCCTAGGGATGTCATTTTTAAGAGGAGGGAATAAACAAAACTTTGGCGGCTTGTGAAGTTGTTTATTGTTGTCGAGGCAATACAGTACGTATCAATTTTAATAAAACCAGCAAATTCGGGGGGAGTGGGGGAATGCCCCCCGTCCCTACCAAAATAACGCTCTTGATCAAGTCCACTGAATATTGTATAATGCATTGAAACTCATCTTATCTGTGTGAAGCAAAAGGGATTTAGCCATTGATTTGCTTTCAGTTGCTGACAGCTGCGCATTGTTTTGGAGAAGAAGACGACGACGAGGACGACTACGCTGTTTTGCTTGGTACACTGAACTTGGACGACGTAGACAAGTCTGCCCAGTTTATAAGAGTTCGATCGTTCAAAAGACATCCTGGCTTTAAAGTTAACTTGAGCCTGGGCTACCCCGATGACATAGCCATCGTTCTGTTGGACAGCCTGATCGAATTCAACGATCACGTCCAGGTGATTTTGAACTTGCCATTTGTTATTTGAGAAGAACACTTGCGAGACATGCTTTGTCACTTTTTGAAGAAATAAAAAGTTATACATATATATATATATATATATATATATATATATATATATATATATCATATATATATATAAATATAATAAATATATATATATATATATTTATGTTTGTCACTTTTTTCCCGTGCGTGAACTTTGCTTGAACCCTAGCACACACGCTCCGTTCATAGATTGGCGTGGCCTACTCGTTTGATGTATCTTGTTGACTACCGCCTTTCCAATTAAACATAGTTAGACTGTCTCCTAGTATTTTGTAGAATGTTTGCGATTGTTCTTGAAATGTAAAAAAATGCTAAGTAGCTTCTGGAAGGCAGGGCTTACGCGTCGGTAGAATGACATATATAAGGGATTGACAGATACGGAGGCACTGAGATTCAGATAGATATTATTAACTTTACGAGGCGTGTATTATTCTTTATGTATTTGTGTGCTCAGATGTGTTTATTTTGTATTCATCATTATTAATTGGCACTTTGTATTAACTGTGTACCGGTACACGATCTACCATACTGTAAGTTGATGATTTGTAATGATATTTCTTTTGTTTTTGCAATTGTATTATTACTAAATTAAATATTATTAATTGTAATTGGTACTGTTTTGGGTGTCGTAATTGTGTTGTTGTATTTATCTATGGTACCGTCCTTTGTTAGGCACTGTTTGAACGAGCCATCAATTTAAAATAGGAGATTAATTTCTCCCAAAAAAAGTCAGTGCGTAACAATATATTGCCTGGTTTGTTAATTGCCAATCTATAGCATTTTGGCTGGTTTGTTAAGTGTCAATCTACGAAATGTTATGTATTTAATGAATCAAAAGCTTCAAGTAAGTCTAAAATAGCCACCATCCATCCCTGTGGCGCTACATCCCATGTACAGCTTTGGCCTGCCTCACAACTTTCTTCCACTCAGACCTAACTAATGCCTTTCTTTTCCATGCTTGGATTTTCAGCTGCTGTAGATCTTTTTCTACATCATCTATCCACCTAAGCCTAGGTCTGCCTTCGAGCCTTTTTCCTCTGGGGTATTGGTGATGCACCTTCTTCGTTCCTCTGTAATTTGGCATTCTCTCTAGGTGTCCTGCCCAGCCTGGCCTGCCTCATTTTATTTCTGCTACTATCGTGGGATCCTGATATAGACTGTATAATTTCTGGTTGGTTCGTATTCTCCATCCATATTTATCTTTTGTTGGCCCATATATTTTCCTGAGAACTTTCCTCTCCCATGTGTTTAATAGGTTTTCTGCTGTTTTTTTAGGGTCCAAGTTTCGCTTGCACATGTTACAACTGGTCTGATTACAGTTTTATAAATAGTTTTCTTTGTTTCTCTTTTTATGTTTTTGCTTTTGAGTATTGTCTGACCACTGAATTATACCCTGTTTCCGGCTGATATTCTTTCTTTTATTTCTGTTAGTAATTCGCTTCTTTCATTTAACAAGGATCCTAGGTATTTGAATTGATTTACTTTTTCAAAAGTCTGGTTTCTAATTTTAATTGCTTCATCTGTTTGTTCTTCACTTATCATGGTCATGTATTTTGTTCTTTGGTTGTAAAGGGCAACCCCCCCCCCCCCCCCACGGTTGTGCGCAGGGTTAACAACTCGGCCGTGTAAAAAAATCAACGTTACGAAAGCCAATCGAGTCTAAAAATATCACCATAACAAAAATATAAATGTTATATTCGCTTATATTCGCTATATAAAGCTAATTAAAACAACAAGTTTTTCTAAAAAATTCACGAGACTCCACATGTACTCTATTGTATTGGTGGTACAAAAACTTTTTGTCAATAGAAATATTAAAAATAATCTGGACTGTTGACTAAATAGACCTATTTGATTGCTTGATACAATCAAAAGAGGCAATACATAAAGAATAACTATCATTGTTTATCCTCTGACTGCCAGCTACATTACTTATTTTATCTTCTGACAGACAATTACACTACTTATTTTATCTTCTAACAGCCAGCTATACTACTTATTTTATCTTCTGACAGTCAGCTACACTAATTATGGTATCTTCTGACAGCCAGCTACACTACTTATTTTATCTAATGACAGCCAGCTGTACAACTTATGTTATCTTTTGACAGCTAAACGAATTATTTTATCTTCTGACAGTCAGCTACACTACTTACTTTATCCTATGACAATCACTTACTTTATCTTATGACAGTCAGCTACACTACTTACTTTATCTTCTGAGAGCCAGCCACACTACTTACTTTATCTTATGATAGCCAGTAACACTACTTATTTTATTTTTCTGACCGTTAGCTAAACTACTTATTTATCTTCTGACACCTAGCTAAACTACTATTTCATCTTATGACAACAAGCTACTTATTTTTATCATCTGACAGCCAGCTAAGTTGGCCCCGATAGGCTTGTCGTTTTTGGACAAGACGTGTGTCATGATTGGCTGGGGTCACATCAAATACAAAATATTGCACCCCCATCTCATGCAGGCGCACATCACAAAAATATCCATCTCCGATTGTCAGAAGCGCATGTTGCCACTCGGTGCTGGCATCACAACAAATCATATCTGCGTGTTTGAAGAGACAGGTCAGTGTTTTCTAGCGTCACTCCTAGCTGGGAAACTTTGAATTCTGCCAGCTGTATATGCTATTAACTAGATATAGGGGCGTGAATTTTCTGTAATGAGAAGTTGTTGACTTAGAGAGAGGTTCACTTGTGAGGGCGAGATGTGATTGGTTGGGAACGATTACTTCGGGGTGTTAGGTTGAGAGTGTGTTAAGTTATGTTTAAGGCAGAGTTCCTGGGAGTTTTGTGAGAGAACGGTCGTGAACTAAAATTGAAGTATCAGCCATTTTGTTCGCTGTTATCAAGGAGTTTTTCCTTATATGCACCTTGTGGTTTGTGAACACAGTGTAATATTAAATGGAGAACTTGTAAGTAAACTCTGAAAGAACTCTGTTATTTACACTCGACAATGTCACCTATTATAGTTACCAAGTTTGGTCGTGGACCAAAGCTTTCGTTTGACTTAAGTGATTCCCTTGACAACAAGGGGGGGGGTTGATCAAACTGCCCCCCCCCCCCAGTAACCACACCTACTGCCGTAGGTGTTAAATGATGGGAGAGGTACGTATAAGTGGAAAAAATACATTAACTTGACTAGGGAGACAATGTCACCTATTATAGTTACCAAGTTTGGGCGGGGACCAAAGGTTTCGTTTGACTTAAGTGATTCCCTTGACAACAAGGGGGGGGGTTGATCAAACTGCCCCCCCCCCCAGTAACCACACCTACTGCAGTAGGTGTTAAATGATGGGAGAGGTCAGTATAAGTGTACAAAATACATTAACTTGACTAGGGAAACTTTTTGAGTGCATTAGTCAACATTGCGATAACTTATTACATGACATTTTTATGACACTTTACTCAATATTATTTTGACTCACAACCCAACATTATTATGACTCCTTAATCAAACTAGTTATGACTCACTACTCAACATTATTATGACTAACTACTCTACATTATTATGACAAACTACTCAACATTTTTATGACTCACTACACCACATTATTATGACTCACTACACAACATTATTATGACTAACTATTCAACATTATTATGACTAACTATTCAACATTTTTATGACTAACTACTCAACATTATTATGACTCACTACAGCACATCATTATGACTCACTACACAACATTATTATGACTAACTACTCAACATTATTTTGACCCACTACTCAACATTATTATGACTTACTACACCACATTATTATGACTAACTACTCAACATTATTATGACTAACTACTCAACATTTTTATGATTAACTACTCAACATTATTATGACTCACTACACCACATTATTATGACTCACTGAACAATATTATTATGACTAACTACTCAACATTATTTTTACCCTCTACTCAACATTATTATGACTTACTACACAACACTATTATGACACACTGATTAAATTATTTTTTACTTATTATAAATGCGTTATCATGATCTCGGTTTCTCCAGAGTCCAATTTTGCTTGGCATGAGTGCATCGGTTAACATGGCAGCACATGTCAGATTTGAAGATTTGGATTTCTAAATTTATTATTTGAGTTAAGATATGTTTGTGGAAAATTTAGGTCAACTATTCGCCCACATTTTTATCCAAAGATTGTAGTTAAAATATACTTCTATACAGCTTAGATGAAATTCTCTTAAAATAGTGTCTATCTAGAATTGAAAAGTCGAAACTTCCCAGAGTTGTGGACACAAGTTAAGATTTTTGACACAACCAGAAGACTTGGTTTTCAAAGTCACGTACAATAACGACTTTTTGTAGACATGAAGACTTGTTTTTTGGACTACAAAATGAATTGCTTACGAAAACTATATTCGGTTAGGACAAGTAAAATGTGATATCTGGCCAGAAAAATGGTTTGCAGCGAGTAAAAGATGATTTCTGGCAAAACACTTGGATTACGGCGCGTAAATTATATTTCCATGTGAAATTTTTTCCAAAAAGTAATTAAAAATTACTTTGGAGGTTTCAATCCAATTAATTAATTAATATGAGCACGAATTCGATTTATTTGCCAATAGACGATCCAAGTGAACGTCCCTCCATTTGTGATGGTGACAGCGGGGGACCACTCATGTGTGGCGAAGGCTTGGAATTTGTTGCCGGTGTAGTGTCATGGACTGACCCCACTTGTACCGGTAGGTAATTTATAATGTAGGGTATAGTGTTAAAGTTACGAGGCTCCTGGTATAACATAAATCATTACACATATCTAAGACGTTATCTGGGTAGGGCCGGATAGGGCATTTGTCCCCACCCCCCGAAATTTGAATGATTTGTTTAATTTGCTATATACCTTGTCGCCTCCGGTATAAACAACTTAATAAAACGACCAGGTTTTGGTTTTACCCTTTCCCCCTTTTGAGCAAAACCTGAAATGACGTCCCAGTGTGA